AAGTATCAAAATTTTAATAAAATTTGTATCGCGTTGGATCGTTAAAATGTGACGGATACTTTTGATCACCCACTGTAGTTTCGACAGTTTCGGTTTTCGTCGTATCGAAAGGGTTTCGTCGTATCCCTTATTATGATTTTAATATAGTTTTCTTCTAAGTTTCAACTGTTATTAAGGGGTTTCGTCCCTCATCTATAGTTAATATTATAATTATATAAAATTATATAAAATCAGTTAATTATAGCTATAATCTTATCAATATAAAAAAAAAAAACGCTGTCAAATCAATAAAAAAAATTTTCATTACAATAATATCAAGTTTTACTTAAAAATAAATCAAATAAATAAATAATTTATTATTAGAAATATCAACCTATTTTAAAGATCACCTAATTTTTAGCAAAATGAACTTCTCGGTTCTTTTAAAATAATGCATAAACTCACCCTAATATAGTAAGTTACAATAAATTATATTCGAATCATTTTTAATTTTTTTTATTAAATTAGTTTTCCTATCACAATTTCAATGTTTCAATATAAAAAAAAATGAATGATTAAATTAATAATATTAAATTAAAAATCCTAAAGCTAAAATAAAAAAAAAATTTTTTACTTGCATAACATTCTCTTGAAACTTGAGCGGCTAAATTAACGATGTACTATGTACTTTTAGTTACATAAGCCGAAACTGGAACTAAAATGAAAGTTGGGCGTTATTACAGATTAAATAATGTATTTAAATGTAATAAAATGAAATGTATAATTATCCCTCATGGATGAAAAGGACAAATTATTTACCGAGGATAAATAAAAGAGATATAATTGTATTTCCTTGCGATAAGTTGATGATGTATAAGAACAACAAATATGGATGGATAATCTCCGTTTCGTTTCGTATCAATCTAATGTGTTTAATCAATGTTAAAAGGCGTTTCAGATTGTAGATCAGAGCATTCTATAATGAACGGATGAAAATAAAATCTGTAGTATTCTTTTCTATTTAAGGTAGGTAATAATGTAATTAGTAATCCGTTATTTACTTTACGCGTATTTCTACACATTTACTTTAATGAAAGTTAATAAAGCATCGTGTTTCCTTTTTAAATAATATGCTATTTTCAAGGATAAACGTTTGGGCCGACATGAAAATAATTTTACCATTTTGTCGTTACACGATTGTAAGGTTACCGATTTGTCGATCGATTCTAAAATTATTTCGAGAACATTCTTGTAATTAATGTAAATTATTGTTAGCATGCATCGTAAATCCGTTTCAATTTCTTTAAAAAAAAAAGATAAATTCTAAGAATTCGTTTGTTTACACCTTGTTCTTCGTATTTTGATAACAAATATCCCAGCTTGGATTTATTTACCAATGCAGAATGAATTAAGAACAAACAGGAATAAATAATTGTACAATTGAAAGAAATAATGAAATCATCCGCGGACCCATCCGCGGCTCACCTGTGGTACCTGCAAATAATAAAAATAATAACATACAATTTATGCAACATGTAATAATCTTTATGTAACCTACTCGAAGTGTTCTACCTAAAATCCTGTTTTTCGTCATAATATTTTTTTAAATAAGTTGATCACATTTTACATGTTTTGCATTGTTTGTTTGTTAATCACCATTTTAGTTTGTTTATTTTTCGTGTAACTCGTTGCACCCTTTCCCTCTAAATAATCCCTTTCCAAAACAGTTTAATCTTAAAAATTAAAAGTTTCGGATATTTCCCAATTAAGAAAGTAACTATCGAGGATTTAAAAGTCTCGATTTTAATATTTTTGATTTGTCATTGAATAATTTCCTTTATTGATTACTTCCGCTTATTCACGTGTTAAAAATAATCATACAAAGACTTTCTTTTATTTCTTTCTCGGTTGCCAAGATGCAGTACGCTCGGATATCTCCACCTTTTGTTGGTCATATTGAAACTTGTTCACAAATAAAAGGATTAACGGATCTTGATTGGTGTAAAATTGTAAAATAACATGCGTTCGATTTTTTTTTTATTAAAGTTTACACATCATATTACACAAGAAGAAATCGATTCGCAAACCGCGAATTGTAATGCCAAGACAAAAAGCATTCGTAATTTCATTAATTTAATTTAGTTTAGAATGCTTGATTATTTATATTCTAAATTTAATATTAATTAATAATATTTTATACTAATATACTTTTTGTTTTTTTTAATAAGTTCGCTTTTTCTATACCAATTATAATGACGGCAAATTAGATAGTAAGTGTTCATGAATGACGTTTAATGCTTTGTCGGAATTACGCTCATCAATCACACATGAAATGTTAATTTCTGATGCCCCTTGGGAAATCATTTCGATATTCACATTTGCCGCAGCGAGCGTAGAAAACATTCTACCAGCAATACCCACCATGTTCTTCATTTGTTTACCGACCAAACTTAATATTGCCATATCTTTAAGTATATCAACCTAAAATAATTAAATATATATAATGTCAATATAATTCAAAATCTCGCTGATGTCATAACCATTTAAATTCAACGTACCGTGCCTAATTTCCTCAATTCGTTCAATGCCTTATCTAAATCTCCTTCTACGCCAAGTGCCATAGATACATGGACTTCACTCGTAGAGATCAAATCTACAATAATCCCATAAGTATCTAGTGCTACAAAGATTTGTGCGAAAAATCCGTGACTGATGGTTTTACGATTTGAATGAATATTTAGAACGATAATGTTATTCTTTATGGTAACAGCTGTAGGATGTCTTCTGGACATATCATCATGGTATCCATTTTCATATAGAAGGGTTGAAAAGCAACGTCCGTTTGAAAATCCTTTTCTAAATGGGACCTTACTAATCTCATTAATATCGGGAAAGATAATTGTTCCTTTACCATTTGGGTTATTAACGTTTTTTATACGAATTGGAATGTTCGCTCTTATAACTTGTTCCATAGTAAATGGATGTATCACTTCAGATCCATAATATGTAAGCTCTGATGCTTCTTCGGGTGTAATGATTGGTAAAAGCCTTGCATTGCAAACTTTACGAGGATCTGCTGTAAAAATTCCATCAACCTCCTTCCAAACCTGAAGTTCCTTGGCCCCAAGTCCCACTGCCAGGAGTGCTGCGCATAAATCCGTATAGCCTCGCCCAATGCTATTAAGAAGACCTCCCGGTACCAGTCCAAAATATCCTGTAGTGAACATCGATTCATTTAACATTGATTAAATAAATAAATAATATATATGTATATAAAGGGAGACAAATTACCAGTGATAACGGGCACGCGGTTTTCACATTTACTAACTACATCCGTGATTCTCTTTGCTAAATAATCGTAAAATTTTTGATTTAGATTGTTTTCGTCAAATCGTTGATCAATAATATTATCTAAATTAACAAATTCGGCATCTATCCCCTATGGAACAAAAGCAAAAAAAAAAAATTTTTTTTTTTTGAGTTCTCTTGAATTAATTTACTCATCAATGATGAAATCAATGACGAAACAAAGAATACCTTGTCTTGTAAGACAGCCGTAATAATACGACAGGACAACCTTTCTCCAAATCCGATGATAATATCTTGTGAGCGTGGTGAAATTTCCTCAATGATCTATAACGAAGCAGGACCATCGATTAACTTTCATAAATTTAATTTTATCGATATAATTAAATAAATTTTTACCTGTGCGGCATCCAAGAAATTTTTGAGCAGCAAGCAATCATGAATCAATTGCTTTTCTAATTCTTTTAGGATTTCTTTATTCATGATAATTTCTTGTGAAGCTTTCACATGTTCTTGACAAATTTCATTTACGATTCGAACATATTTTTTGGAATCCTTTTTGAGTGCTTCTTTTGAAGCTTCAAGTAACCTATTAGTGGTTCCTTTTGCCTTTGATTCGCCACTACGTGCAGAACATACTAAAGCGACTCGTCGCACTTCCAAACAAGGTCTGTATACATAAGAAGCGAAAAGAGTAATTTAAGTACATGGATCGAATTCAACGAGCTGAGATGTTGAAAAAAAAAATAACAGATCGTAGAAGTTTTACCCACTTTACGATATTATTCGCGATATTTTCCAGAAATTTTCCAATACTTGTACCACCAAACTTTTGCACATTCCAAGGAAGGTATTCTTTATTAGTTATAAGAGAAACTGGAAGGTGCATAGCCGCCATTAGTAATTTAAATTTTGAACGAGATAAGGAAAAATTTTTTTTTTTTTTTTTTTTGATCTCGATTTATCTGATTACATCTGTTGTTGCACATCAAATTGATAAATGAAAATAATGAATATATGAATATAATATGCAGGATGCCAATCTTGAATAACGTCAAGATGAGTCACTTCCTTTTAAAGAGCACCGAAATTTGATTAAAATGACCAAAATTGGTTAAAGGTAATTTTTTAACAGAACTTCTAGTTCTCAATGGACTGCGACACTCCCCTGTGCCAACCTGCGCTTACGGTATTGAATAATGGAAAAGAAAATGGGAGAATACCGAAATGGCACATCATACCGAAAAAGTTGTAGGCTTCACAGGATATTTCGGAACGTATGTTTTAGCCGAAAAGGTTAATCTATTGGCTATCTTGATAATAGGCTTAAAAAAGATCTCAGGCTGTTCCAAAACAAAGAGTTTGGTCATAACAGAAAGGTTAAGTGAAATTCGAAACAAATCACTCGAGTTTAATCAAGTCTCGAGATAAGACCATCGTACAAGATGGAATTTTCATTCGATTTTTCTCTTATCTTGGTGATTTTTCCCGTTTTTTTTTTTAACGCGCATTTGATCACACATTTACTAAAGGTGTAATAATATGTACGTTAAGACACTGACTAAAGAAAACGCGTCACTTTTTTTTTTTAAAAAAAAAAATTTCTATCAATTTAATTATGATAATTTGATCCCAAAACAAATAATATAAAAATATAAATATAGTAAAAAACACCAAAATTTAGTTCATAGTCGCAAGACTTTATTTATTCAACATTGAATCGTCACATTTTTTATTTAAAAATAAAAAAAATTCTTAATCTATAAATATAATACAATGAATGGTCTACGAAATCTGCATTGAGAACCTTAAATTAAAAATAGCAGGTTCCTTGAATATCAAGATCAAAAATCAAGAATAAGTACATGGTCAGTGCTGTGCAAAATTGACATTATTATGTATAAAACAAAACATCTGCTTTTATAGCCACAATGCTTTCTCCGAGTAAAAAAAAAAAAAAGGGAAAAAAAAAACTTAACTTTATTTTTTTTTTTGTTATTTAATACAAATTTAGTAATCAGTAATTAGTAAATTTACAATTTACAATAAAAACTATCAAATGTTTGAATAATTGTATGTGATGATGGGCTTAGAAGCATTGAATAGACAAATATTTGTTAATGGAGATAAGCCAAATTTTGAATCGAATGTATATTAATTTAGATTAATTTTCTTTTAGGCTTAGAGATAAATAACCCTTTTAAATCAATACCAACTCAATTTAAAAGATTTTAATTTAATCAGCCTAATGACATAAGCCTCTTTGTTTAGGACTAAGCCTCTTAATAAACAAATGTTATGGTAGTGGCTAGAATATCCATCATTAAATTTACATCTTTTCGCGGCTTTTCCAGGCTTACTGTTTTGTTTGACAGCAGATTGATTGTTTTTTTTATCGTTAGAACTTACTAAGGTCGCGGCAAAAGTCCGAAAAATTTTTATTCGAAAAAAAAAAAAAGAATTGTTAAAGATTGTTTATCAATCTTGTCGATTCACATAAACACACGTATAAGAAATTGCTTTGTAAACATCATTAATTTAATACACGTGATTCACATTCAATCATCATATCTTTGATACTTGATAATATTTTTATTGATTCCAAAGTCTTAAGAGAAAAGAAGAAATCTTAATTGATTAATTATAATTCTTACGTATTGATATGAACTACAATGGCTTTGTAATCACTTTCGCAGAACGAGAGGGGTTGTGAAGTTTACTCATTTATGGTAAAGAGACTAAAATTTATTTGACATCTATAACCTATTTCTATTCTTAGTATGAATTTCGTAAAGAAATCGTTTTTAATATTAAAAAATTGTAAACAATCAATGTTTTCTATTGCCCCTATATATATATATATATATGTGTCAAAACTTACTACTACTACACATAAATAAAATTTTCATATTAATACAATTTTGTACCATAATTAATTGCTACATATCATATAGTAATTTAAAAATATAAAAACTCTTTGAATTAGAGATTACTTAATATTTTCGTGAAATTAAATGTCTAAAGGCTTAATAAAAAATTAGGGTCGATTTCAATTCGTATCGTGCTTTGAGTAGTCGACCTGTGGACCCCTGGGAAGAGATGCCGTCGTAGTATTTATAAATTGGCTTCCGCTTTGAGCAATGGTATGCTGCGGGAACCCAGGGTAATGTCTTTGACTTGACATTTGTAAATACGGAGACGAGTAAGGATGATGTAAAACGGTTCTCTGTTGTGCTAAACGTTGCTGTTGCTCTTGAATTGCAATTTGCGCACGCTTACGTGTTAATTTCGCAAAATCTGTGATGATTTTATTTTGTTAAGGTGACCTTCTTTCTGATGTAAAAAAAAAATTTTCATCATTATATTATACACTCACGCAATCCACACGCGTTACATAACGTTCTTGCCCCATCTGGTCCTCGTCGCCATTCAGGTGTCTCTTGAATGTTACATGAATGACACCTTCCTGGGGGGGCTGGTCTTTTCTAATGATTCATAAAGTTAATATAAGGGTGGTTTTCGGAATTCTGTCACACTTTTTCGTGAAACTTACCGTTCTTTTTCGATACTTTGGACGTGCCGGAGAAATACCCGCACTCGTTCTTTTGTTTCTAATTAGATCAATTTCAGTCTTCAAAAAAAAAAAAGAAAAGAGGAATAAAGTAAATCAATTATATTGAGATTACGCCGACAAGCGAAATCATCTCAAAATACAAACCGGGCCACGACGATTCGTCTCATCTTTCAAAGCATTTAACACGTAAAGAACCTCAAAAGCTTTATTAATCATTTCGGTAACGTGCGCTTCCGACGGAAGGGGGGCTGCTGGTTGCATCGGCCAGACATCTGGTCGATGATTGCCAATGCGACTACGTATTTCACCATACTGGGCGGCGAATTGACTAATAAGGGCACAATGGTCAATTATCTAACATTTCATAATGAAAATCTTTAGATTAACCAACCCGGTAAACATCATTTAAAATGTTAAGAAAAAGAGAAGGGGGATGAACCTTTTTCAAGTCGGCCATTGTCTTTTCATTCCCTCGATTAACAGATTGGTAAACGTCCTTTTCAAAGGAAGCACGATAGTGATGATACTCTGAAGGAAATCCATTGGACGCTATAGCGGCATTATATTGCATGTTCTGCTGTTGCAATTGTAATGTGGAACTCTGCTTGGAATCATCTCTCGAAGGCATACCGAGTTGTTGCTTTGATGGTGACATTTGTGTGGCATCGCCTTCGGTTGAAGATGAGTGTTGTTGACTCTGCTGCCATTGGGATTGCTGATAAGTTGGTGAAGGTGTAAACGAACTATCTGGATATGGAGCCTGAGAAAGTATTTTAAGTTCGTTAGAAATTTTAACACATGACTTTTTGATTATGACAAACTTACGACTGACTCTGGTGGCGAAGGTCTATGTTCCGAGGTAAGTGCATTCAATGAAGAATGAATGTTTGGCGATCTACTTTGCTCGACATGAAGGTTCGAATTGGATCTACTCAAACTTGGAGTGGTAGGGGGAGGGCTAGGGTGTAAATGAGTAGGTTGCGGAGATTCCAAGGATAAGGAACGAAGATTTAATAGCGAAGGTGAATTACTAGCGGAATTCTTATCGACAGAATTAAGCTTAGATTGTAAATAAGGTTGGCTTAACGCGGTAGGATTATCTTGTTGCTTAGATGATTTTTCAGAAGGTTTTGATATGGGATGTAAAAGCGACGAGATTGAAGGCAAAGTGCTCTTATTTTTAGGTGATTCGACCGAATTTGTATTTGAAGCTGTACTTGTTTTTGGAAAAGACGCGCTAGAGGACATTATTCTCTCGATTGGAGGCAAAGAACATATTGAAGCAACATCCATATTGGTTAAATTATATTACGCTTTGCTAATAGACGAATATGAAGGAGAAAAAAAGAAAAAAAAATCAAGATTGTTTGAAATTGTGTCATTAAGAGCACAATTCATTATGAGATGATAACTTAGGTAAACAAAGAAAAGTTATTTTTACCGTTATATATGTATAACTTCTGTAGTATGCTGTAATTGTACTGTCGACAGCTCTAAAGGTATAGATTAATAATATTTCGATAATTTTTATATAAATTTTTATGAATTCTAAATTAATAATGAAATGTGAAACGATTAATTTAAAGTTAAAATCAAAGCGCGTTTGGTGCGCATGCAAATTTACCGGTCTATTTTATATAAAAGGACTGACACAATAAAAAAAATTTAATTTTTTTTTTTTTTTTTTTTTTTATAATACCGCCAAAAGAACATTGGGCGGAAGAAAAGGTTAATCAGTGGCAACACTTTTGAAAAAGTGGCGGGGTTTACATTTTTAATGATTATTTTAAAGCTTTTTTTTTTTTATATAACGACCAATCAATAATATTAAAAAAAAGTAAAGTGTTAAAAAAAAAAAATATTTTAATAGGATTAAACCGTAATCTATACAATGCAATATTATGTAGTAATAATTATATACTGTAACATAAAACCTTAGTTATATAAATATATATAATAAATATATAACATAATATATAATAATAGTATATAACATAATATAATATAATAAATATAATGTAATATAATAGAATTTTCGACTATCAACGATTTTAACTCAGTTGGTGGGGCTGCAAAGTAAATCTAATACCTTGCTTGTTAGCCGTCTTAAACCAGTGCCACAATTGTTTCACCGCGCAAAATGCAATTCTATTATTCTATTTTAATTTAAAAAAAAAAATACCAGGTATTTATAAACAAGCATGTTGTAAGCGTGTTCGCATGCAATGAGTGACCTGGTTCAAAAGCTGGATTTCCAACGTTAGCGACGGGTATTCCCTAGTTGGAGATTTGTCCGAGATGTACCACATACGTTTATGCTTTTGTTGAAGGTTGTTTGGATGTTTTTAAAAAACAATCGCTTGCCGTAACGCGAATTGTAGAAATCGAATTAACCCAACAAAAAAAAAAAAAAAAATTCTTACACGTCCGAATAGGGTCAACAGTTGCATTATATAGCTTGGTATGATCTGGTGAATGGGAGGGAACTGATCGGATCGACATCACACTCAATCTGTTATTCATCACCGGGTCAAATTTGGTTAAGCCAAAAAAATCCAAAAGGGCTGTGAATTTGATTACTTCATCTCGTAATAAATCTAACCAAGCGATTTCGTTTGATACCTTTCCATTTAAAAAATGAAAAGGATCTATTTTGACATCTTTTTTGTATAGCAGGACAGGAAAGTTACACACATATCGAGATTTCAAAAATCCCTTGGCATTATCTTGGCATGTACTTGTGGTTTAAACTATAATCGATGCTGGCTCCCGTCAACCACAGACGTATTCACGTAATTGTTTTTAAAAGATTCGATTCTAAAAATAAAAAATAAATAAAACTGTAGATTAGATTGATCACGTGAATCACACGGTTTTTGTCAGCGTTACTTTCAGTGTGATAAAAACGAAATGAACATGTCAGTCGATGATGTAAACAAACTGAAACAAATAAAAAAGTTCATACATTTTTAAAAATCGTTAATGCAGTAATGGCGCAAGACATTATTATTAATGACCACAAGATGGTACAAGATTTACAGGATCATACATCGGAACTTCTTTAAAATAGAAGTTTTGTGTAAAATTTTCATGTAATCCCTTTGCATTTACCAATGAAACGGAATTAAAGTGTTTTTTGGTTGGTTCAAGGGATCGTCAATTTATTTTTATGCACGTCAATGATCTTTTTTAGAATTAAAAAAACCAATGTCGCACAATCTAAATTTTACAAATCGAAATCTAAATGCAGAAAAAATCGACATCATTTATTTTTAGTTCATTTGGAAAAAAAAAATTAATTTTTTTATCATCCCTATTTTCTCTCAATTTGGTAATTGTTTATTACCCACAACGCATAGTGGTTTTTAAAATTCAGTAAGTTCTTTTTATTGCTCTTTTTTTGGAAAGTTGTTGCTTCAAAACTTACTTTGCCTCGTCAAAGACTTTTGAGTTTGCATGCGTTTTAATAAAGATATTTTAATGTCTTTTTGATCAAATTCTTTTTAGGTTTGGTCAAAAAGGGTGTTATTAGATTAAATTTCTCGGATCGATCTTTTACGTATATTTTTTAATATATTATTAAACAATAATAATGACTAAGTTACGTTTCTATAATTGTTGTGGAATCATTGACTTACAACGAGGTAAGAAACAAATAAAAAAATTCCATTAGATCGGTTCAGATATAATAATATGTACTTGCACAATTAATAAAATTTTCTCTTGACATCAGGTGTTGTTCTTATTACAATATTTGCTTTGGTAACCTTACATGTAGATGATAATGTTGTGCCTAACATATTGTCAATTTATTAATATAATTTTTTTTTTTTGATTTTAAAGCTTAATAAAATTTCCGGTTTTTTCGGGATACCAACAATTTTTGATGGAGGTGGAACATCATCCATCATTTCATATATATATTCGATCATTGCATCAATAGCAATTACATATTTTCTGCTTTATGGCGTTTTCCCGGTATTTTAATTTACCTTTTTTTTTTTTATTTTTATTTTTTTTTTTTAAAAAAAAAAAGAGGTATAAAAATCTAAATGTTTTCACTATTTTATTTTGAAAAGGAAAATCCGAAGATTATCAGATACTATTCTCATTTTTATTGGATGGATTTATTCATAAATGTATTATTTACATCAATATTTGGAATTTGGTGGTATTTGATAACGGACCATTTATTATTGGCGGAAACTGAAAAACCGAAACAAAATAATGAATTGATTAATAATAAGGAGGCAGTTAAAGTATTGGAAACTTCAACGTTACCAGCATGGAAAGCTGAATCTGCCATTGCAATCATTATTTTGATCTCAACAGCACTTATACATGTATGTCTTTTATTTGTTTAATGTGATTGTAATATTATTGTGTATAAATGACCTCATTTTTTTTATTATTATTTATTTATTTATTTATTTTTAAAAGGGTTATTTTGCTCTTGTGATTCATTCTTATGCAAATTTCGTACAAAAAAAGAAACCCTATTATCCTTCTTCAGGAATTATTCCTGTTCCCCGTGTATCATCATCCGGGACATCATTATTGAAACCGGAGGATAATTCTCGTAGACATTTAAGTGTTGAGTTGGAAGATGAGGAATTACCATTTAATTATTAAGAACATTGTATTGCATTGTATTTAATAGGAATATATATATACATTAGTATATAAAATCATCTGTATATTTTTTAAATAGAATTAATTTGATTCATAACAATAAATATATATAAATATATATGTTATATCAAACGGGTAATATTAATATTGTTTAAGATTACACGATATTGATTTTACACTTTCTATTATATTTTTATTATACAGAACCCTAATCTTTCAAGACTTTATTAGAAATTCAAACTTTTATTGAAATTATAATTATTTCTATCTTTAATGAAGTAAAATTAATTAAATACCTATTTTTTTTTTTTTTTATTTTATTTTATTTTAAAGGATATTATATTAATTAAAGTGAAAATTTGTTTTAACTAGTAATTAAAAAAATAGGGTTATATCTGCCAGTGTATAATATATTACAGTAGGATTCAAAAAGATGTTATAACTATATATAAATTGTTGTTTATATATATCTATATATATCTACATTATTCAGTTCATTTCCATTGTATCTTGTTTTTGATATTCTTGTCTAAATCTCCAACTCTTAATATTTAAATTTAGATTTGAATAATAATTCTTCAATGCTATCGTAGAGGATTAATCAAAAATGAATTAAGGTCAGTTAATACAACAAATGTATTTAAAAAATTTTTATTAATTTGATTATTACCTTGTGTTGAAAATGTTTCCTTGTATTTTACTCTTATATACCAAAATGGCACCCCAGCAAGGATGAATCCAATTGCTGCGAGTGACTGTAACGGAACACGCGCGAAAGGCATTATGACTAAAAATATGGCCACGCAACAAAATATAATGGGAGTGCTAAGCCAAACCTTATATGGTCTATGATTTCAAATAAAGTTATTATAATTTTGAAAAATTTTCATCATAATCAGTTATTTATTTATTCATGCTGACCTTCTTAGATCCGGTTCTCTCCATCTTAATATTAATAATCCAAACGAAGTGAGAAAATAAAATATCCATGCAGCAACAGAAACAAAATTTAATAATGTCAGAAAAGTTCCCGGAATTATCATTACTATGGTCAATACTGCTTGCATAATTAAGGCTGCCGTAGGGGTGTTCCAAGTTCCATGCACCTTTCCAAGGAAAGAGGGCAAGTAACCTTCGCGAGCTGCAACATAAATCAATCTTGACCCCGTGAAAATACTTCCATTCGCTGCACCAAAGCAACTAGCAGCAACACAGAGTGCGAAAATGACACCCCCTACGGGACCGAAAACTTTCCTACCAAAATCCTAAATAAACAAGTTAATTATTTTCGATTAACCTTAGATATTAAAAGAAATATACTTACTAATGCTATGGTATTTGTATTGGTGACCACGGATGATGGTAATACAGCGTAATAAGCGACATTCGCCAACGTATAACATACTATAACTATCGGTAACCCAACCATTATTACACGTGGAAGGTCTCGCGCAGGATTTTTCATTTCACCAGTAACATAATTTACATTATTCCTAAACGAAAGATCGTTTAATAGAGAAATCTATAACTCTTAGTGAAAGATCCAAATGAAGAAATGCATTAAGAAACTTAGATATTTGAAAACCTACCATCCATCATACGCCCAAAGACCTAAATGATATATATTGTTTTCGAAATGAATATACTATCCATCGAAATGCGTAAGATAATCTAAATAAACTAACCTGAATAAAAAGCTAGTGCATAGTCACTAGTTCTCGTTGAACTGCCTTCAAATACATCTCCTTCAAAATTATTTGTAAATCCACCTTTACCTAACACAACGAATCCTATTACAGCTATCACGGCCAAAGTGATTAATTTCAAAGCGGTAAATATGTCCTGTGTTCTAGTAGCCAGACGAACACTATATGCATTTATAAAAGAAATAATTATTATGCATAAAGATGCCACTATTTTGTTTAACCAAACACGAGTTTCATCTGGGAGATTCACATTAAAGGCTGAATGATAAACGATACGATTTATATATTCTGCAAAAATCACTGCGATAATCGCATTGCTCCCTGGCTATCAAAAGAAATACTTGATCAGAATATAAATTAAATTCAAAATTTTTAAGGTTAGTTTTCCAAGGTACCTTTAAACAAGTTATGGCCGTCCAACTGTATAAGAAAGCCAATAAGCTTCCATATGCATGATTTAAGTATGCATGTTCACCTCCAGATAGTGGGATTTCAGATCCTAATTCTGCATAGGTAAGTGCTCCCGTACAAGCTAAGAATCCACAAACTATCCATACAACTAACGACATTCCAACTGACCCCGCATGCAATGCAACAGGACCTGGCGATGCAAAAATTCCAGAACCAATCATCAAACCAACCACTAAAGTCAGTCCATTAAAGAATGTAACTTCCTTCTCTAAACTCGTAGGACGTCTCTGCGTTTCTGTTAAACTTAGTGGTATTAGATGATCGTCGAAATCAAAAACGTCGCTTTGTCGATCACTTGATTGTATAAACGTTTGTTGGTCATCGTCACTCAATTCAAAAGAATCGTGACGTTCCGTGTTTAATAAATTACTTTCCTCCGTTGCATCGAAAATAACAGCTGCTTGTTCTTTTTCCTGAGTAGACATTATTTTTGTATACTATTAAGAGCGAAAATTTTAAAATTAAATCTTATACATGAGGATGTTACACGGACACAAATTTTAAATTGATAGGTCGATCATGATTTTTTTGATTATATTTTATTAAATTTTACTTTTATTTTTCAACAAAAAAGAAATTAACCCGGAATTCAAAATTATAAAGTTTATCCGCGAAACACATGTTCTAAATGTTGATTTGCCCTTCCTGTTATTACATCAATTTCATATTCTCATTATCATTAATTTCATCATCGGTATTTTCAACAAAGCTACGAGATCCAAGTCCAATATTATCTTTGTAACTTCCACTTTCAATATTTCCCATTAATGCAGAATTTTCTAAATTGTTAGGTATGTCATCTTTAATTGTCGATGATTCTTGATAGATTCTATAAAACAATAAAATGATAATGTCAATGATAATATATGTATCGTTGAAATTTTTTTTTTTTTTTAAAAAAAAATTCTTACGATATCGAGCTTATATATTCTATGATTAATTGTCCCGTTGTCAATCCCGTTACCTGCAAATTTATTAAACCAGCATCAATTCGCTTACAATTTAATAAATTATTCGAATGAAAAACTTAATCATACCACTACTACAAATATTTGTGAATTCATCGACATTATTAATAGCATATAAAATAATCTTAATGTTGTTAACAACCCATATAAAAAAGTCCTCTTTGCGATCGATCTAAATCTTTTTTGATTTCGATCATATTTTGCATTTTCTCGATGATAACTTAAAAACCTTTCGCACCAACACAGTAAAGTGATGAAAAGAGAAGCAAGTATAAATGAAATTATAGAATTTACTTGAAAACCGGAAAATAATGCAACGATTTTGAATAAATCTGTTGTGTTAACAAATGTTAGTGAAAATATTATATCATGCTAACTTTCTGACTGTTTATTGTAAATCTTCTTACCATTAGAAAAGTAAAGTTTATTGTGGCCTGAACTTGTATGTCCTGGCATTTCTGGCATTGTTTCCATTGTTTCCGACATTGTAAAACATTTATCATTGCTAAAAGTCAGAATAAAAAACTTGGGGGCTTATCGGTTCAATAGAATTTATGGTAATCATCGGTACACAATATTTTAAGTACATTATTCCCGCTTTTTTATTTTTCCTAATTATAAGTCTAATAAACATAGGGATCGACTGCAATTATATAAAACAAATAAATTTTTATTGATTAATTATTTGTCCCTTCAAAAGATTTTCAAATTTATATAGCAGGTTTGAATTAATATTTTTAATCAATACTGTTGAGAAAAGAATAATGAAGAATGAAGAAGAAGCATAATAAAAAGTTGAGGAGAAAAATACAACTACAAAAGGTATTAAGGAAGAGATTCTTGAACAAATAAAATTAATTTGTAAAAAAAAATTCTCTTAATAATGAGTAAAAGAAATGCATTAAAGCTATAAATCTCATAAAATATGAATTTTGACGATTACACTGTAAACTATTTTGTTTCTTCTAAGTAACTGGCCTTAAGTTTAGCATAAAACTTTCATTTACAAGAAATTTGACATTTAAAATTAGTATTTGCAGTATTTAGCTAATTAATTAAATTATTAGTTTAATTTAAAGAATCTTATATATGCTCATTTTTTATGTGAGTGATCTAGTTTATTTTGTATATACTTATTTTTTTATGAGTTATGATAATTAAACACAATATTTAAGAATTGATTCTTTTTAGAATGAAGGATTATATTGTACAGATTTTGATAATATAACTATCTGCTCAATAATTAAGTTGATATTGATTGGCTCTTGCAATTACACAAAAGTCTAGATAAAGTCTAAACTTAACAAACATTCTCTGTTCTTTAGTATAGTTTATATAACAATATAAGTAATCTATTCTTTATTTCTAAGTAGCTTAAATTATCAATTTTATATACTTTATTTATTACAAGTAATCAATTATCACAAGTTCATATAGAGTTTATAAGTTATGATAATTTATTAAATAATAATAATAAAATGAAAAAAGAAAAAAAAGATTTTTTAAGATGATGAAAGTAAAGTAAAAAATGTGATGTGCTTTTAAAAAAGACCTTCTATTCATTATGCAGATCAAAATCAAAGAAGGATTTTAATAATATCTTAACCTTTTTCATTATTATATTAGGAATTGACAAGACTTTAATTAATAATCAGTATAAAATGTTACCTATATTTAAGTTTGTAATTTTTGTCTTAATAATTATATTAATTATATAATATGTATATAAGCAAAATTTTCATCTTATTAAAAAAGAAGAAGTTTTTATTTATATTATAAAAAAATCTAGAAGAATTTGTTATTATTTGATAAACAATAATACTCCTTATAAATCTTTACGAGATATAAAAATAGTCATTATTTATATAAATTTATACTAAAAGTTTATTTATCATGTATAGTCAATCCCTTCTATCATCTTCTATACAATCATACCTTATTATAAGCACACATTTTATAAGAATTAATACTTATTAATTCTATATAAAAAAAACCTTTTTATAATTACAGTATTTTTATAATTATATCCTTTTACAACTAATACTTAATAATAACATATAAAAATCTTCCTGTATAGTAACTTTTTATTATAATTACACTTTTATTTTTAGTCCCAAAAGATAATAACATATAAAGTCTTTTTATATAATAGCTTTTTATTATAATCACACTTTCATTTTTAATTTCAAAAGATATAATTATAAAGGAAGATGACTATATATGATAATTAGATAATAAATAAACTTTTAATATAGATTTATATATATAATAACATCTTATGAAAATTAATTCAGTTTGTAAGCTAGCTTACAAGAAACACTAACAAGTAAAAAATTATTAAAAATAAAACTTTATCTTATAAATATAAATAAAATTATAAAGCATAAATCATCTTAAGCAAAAGAATATAAAGCTTTACCTATCTGATCTTTTTCTATGCTAATCATAGAAAAAGTTGATTAAATATTACTAATATCTTAATGAATTTTTTTCAGCAATAAAGCTAAATACATTTAACAAAATAAAAAAAGTGAATTTAAATATATTATATAACTTATAATAATTATATAATTTGTGATTATCATTCTAATAAATCAAAATAGGTATTTATAAAATATATATATGATAAAATTTTAGAAGATCTAAAAGTAAGGTTGCTTGTCTAAATTCATTTTAGATTTGGCAAAATGTCTAAACTATAATTTTGCTAATTTTTTACTAAGGTTTTGATATAGTTTTACATTTTTATAAGCTTTGATATAGTTTTATCTTTTTCAAAATTTCACAGATTTTTTATAAGGTTTTAATATAATTTTGTTAAATTTTACCTTTTTCTATTTAGACGACTTATAAAACTTCTAGGTTTCATCTAGCATCTTATCTAAGAGCATTATATTATAAAAATATTATATTTAAGTATAAAATATTCTAAGTATATAATCATTTTTGCTTAAAAAAATACAGCAATTATTTTTGAATATTTATGTTTAATTTCAAAGTATATATAAAATCAAATTAGCCAATTTTTAAAAATGAGCATTATCAGAATATTTCATATATATATATAATACAGAAATACTATAAAATTATTATATTTATACATAAAAATATTTTATTTAGTAATCTTTAACTCTAATAACTTGTATGAAGATATCTCAAAAATTATTAAACACTATACTGATAATATAAAATGTATCAATGATCATTAATAGTTATCTTTAAAAAAGTAAGTTTATTGTATTTGATCTAGACAAATTTAAGAATTATTCTCTTGTAATTTGATTAAGATTTGACATATTATTAAATTTGCAAAAGAAGATAAAGTAAAAATATAAAAAAATAATGTTTTAGCTAATGAGTAGAATCTGATTTTATAAATTTTAGCTTTTTTTTACTTCTATATCTAAAATTTTAGTTATTTAATTTTATATTGCAACTTCTTATTTGTATTAATTTACTTATTATATTCTTAATCAATAATATATATAAATTTTTCAAAAGTTTTCTTATTATAATCAAATAAGTATTAGTATAAGACTTTAATCTTATTCATATTCTAACAATTATTTTCATTCTTATAAATACAAGTAATAAGATCAGTTTGAATAGTATTATCTGTAATATATGTATTTGATATTTCTTTGAATAATAATGATATCAAATATTCTAATTAGCTTTGAGTTCAACTCTGATGCATTAATCTTTTCTGATATCTAATAATTTCATATTTTAAAAATGTTTCTATATTAAATAAATTTTACTAATCTCTTTTTTAGATATCTATATCTCATTTATTAGGAAAACTAGTAATTTCATTAGTAAGGTTAACTATGTTAATTTAAATGCTATTATATATTTATACATTACGTAAAAAAATTAAAATTTCATGAAAATCACCCTTCAATCAAA